AAAGGAGATGAATTAGCTGCTAATCTTGTGGCCCGCATAATTGATGCATTGAGGGGCCCCAGGGGCCCCGCGGTACCCCCTGGGGGCCCCAGGGGCCCCCAATGGCCCTCAGGGGGGCCCTCGGGACATTCAGGCCTCCTAAACAATCTTACTGGGACCCGCAGGGGCACGCAGAGGGTTTGCATGCGGCGTGAGCTAAACCCTAAACCCTAAACCCTAAACCCTAAACCCTAAACCCTAATCCCTAAACCCTAAACCCTAAACCCTATACCCTAGACGACAGGCCCAGAGACCAAGCCCTAGACCCTAGAGGCTAGCTCTAAAGCCTTTAGCCGTGTGGACTTCCAATTGTTACTTAGCGCACTTGCCTCCGCGATTAGGGTTTAGGGTTTAGGGTTTAGGGTTTAGGGTTTGCTGCGTGTAGGGGATGGGAAACCCTAAAGGCCGACCTTCACGAGGCTTTTCAAATCCTTTTCGACAGAGAAGTTCTTTTGCCTCCATCTTTGGCTAATTTACAACTAGACGTCCCAGGGGGCCCCCCTGGGGCCCCCGAGGCCCCCCAGGGGGCCCCCCTGGGGCCCCCCCAGGGGGCCCCTCCGGGGCCCCCCCAGGGGGCCCCTCCGGGGGCCCCCCAGGGGGCCCCCCCGGGGGCCCTTCCGGGGGCCCCTCCGGGGGCTGCCCAGGGGGCCCCCCTGGGGGCCCCTCTGGAGACCGCGCTGGGGGCCCCTCTGGGGGCCTCCTTGGGGGCCCCTCTGGGGGCCCCCGTGGGGGCCCCCCTGGGGGCCCCCTTGGGGGCCCCTTGTGGGGAGGGTTTGGGGGCCCCCTGGGGCCGTCGGTGTCGCCCACCCGGAGTTGATTTTTGGTTTGTTGAGGCCCCAAGGAGTTCCTTCAAGAGACCCCAAAAGTGTTTTATTTTGTCAACAAGTCTTTCTGACTCTTGCAGAGGAGTGAGAAGGAAAATAAACCCTTTCTGCTGCACCAAAAACCCTCAGGGGGCCCCCTAGGGGGCCCCCTAGGGGGCCCCCTAGGGGGCCCCCCAGGGGGTCTCCCCAGGGGGGCCCCCCAGGGGGGCCCCCACGGGGCCCCCCAGGGGGCCCCGCAGGGAATCCCCCAGGGGGCCCCTCCCAGGGACCCCAGGGGGCCCCCAGTTCAGGGTTTAGTTTGTCCCTTTATTATGTTTCCTGCGTCTCCGTTTTTGTCTTGTTCTTTGTGCTGGTGGGGCTGGCCCATAGGGTTTAGGGTTTAGGGTTTAGGGTTTAGGGTTTAGGGTTTAGGGTTTTGCGTGCAGGCACTTCGCCTTGATGCCCCGCAGCGCCGAGGCGGTGGACTTGAACAAATTGTTTCTCCTTGTGGGGCCCATTCGCTTTCTGGAAATGCTGCACATTTTGCTGCCTCCCCAGCAGCAGCAGCAGCAGCAGCAGCAGCAGCAGGAGCAGCAGCAGCAGCGGCTGCTGCTGCTGCAGCAGCTGCCCTCCCGGCTAAACCCCCACTGCCTGGGGGCCCTCCTGCGGCAGCTTTGTGAGGCCCAGGGGGCCCCCGTCTTTGAGGCCCCTCTTCTTTTTGCTGCTTGCTGGGCAGCACAAAACCCTTCAGCGGTACGGAAGCAGCAGCAGCAGCAGCAGCAAGAGCAGCAGCAGCAAGAGCAGCAAGAGCAGCAAGAGCAGCAACAGCAGCAAGAGCAGCAGCAGCAACAGGAGCAGCAACAGCAGCAGGAGCAGCAACAGCAACAGGAGCAGCAATAGCAGCAGAAGCGGCAGCTAGAGCAGCAGCAGCAGCAGCAGCAGCAACAGCAGCAACAGCAGCAACAGCAGCAGCAGCAGCAGAATTGCAGTAGTGACGAGGGTTTGGGGCACTGAAAAATGACTTTAGCGTTTGAAAGGGGCGAAAAGGTTTGCCAGGCTGGGCGAGGGCTGCAGTGGTCAGCTTAGGGTTTAGGGTTTAGGGTTTAGGGTTTAGGGTTTAGGGTTTAGGGTTTAGGGTTTGCGGTTTAGGGTTTAGGGTTTAGGGTTTAGGGTTTAGGGTTTAGGGTTTAGGGTTTAGGGTTTAGGGTTTTGTTTTAGGGTTTAGGGTTTAGGGTTTAGGGTTTAGGGTTTAGGGTTTAGGGTTTAGGGTTTAGGGTTTAGGGGTTTAGGGTTTAGGGTTTAGGGTTTAGGGTTTAGGGTTTAGGGTTTAGGGTTTAGGGTTTAGGGTTTGTATTTAGGGTTTAGGGTTTAGGGTTTAGGGTTTAGGGTTTAGGGTTTAGGGTTTAGGGTTTAGGGTTTGTGGTGCAGGGCGCGGAGTCGCTAAATGTCCCTTTAAAAGGAACAAATATCTCTTGGAAGTTTTTAATTGAAACTGCTCAAAAGAGACAAAGCGAGGCGCTGCTGCTGCAGGTCTTCAGGTGTATAGGCAGCTCCTGCATGCAAGCAGCAGCAGCAGCAGAACTCCAGAAGAAACACCCCCACACAGGTCCGCCGGCCCCACGGAGGGTTTAGGGTTTAGGGTTTAGGGTTTAGGGTTTAGGGTTCGGAACTTGGCGATCAGCCTGCCGGGTTTCTTGCTGATGCAGCAGCTGGAAGAAAAGGGCTCAATTTAGATGTGCTGCAGCAGCTGCTGCTGCAGCTGCTGCAGTTGCTGCGGCTGCAGTTGCTGCTGCTGCAGTCGTTGCTGCTACAGTTGCTGCTGTAGTTGCTGCTGCTTCAGTCGCTGCTGCGCCAGTTCTTGCTGAGTTGCTGCTGCTGCAGTTGCAGCTGCTGCAGTTGCTGCTGCTGCAGTCGCTGCAGCAGCAGCAGCAGCAGCAGCTGCTGCTGCTGCTGCCTTGAAGCAGCAGCTTATCTTTTAGAGTTTTTGCCCTCAGGTCTCCCGCTGGACCCCTGGGGCTTCCTCATGAGCCGCCGTCTCCTTTTGGCCTCCAGAAGGGCCTCTAGGGGGGCCCCCCAGGGGGCCCCCCAAGGGGCCCCCCAAGGGGCCCCCCTAGGGGCCCCCCCGGGGGCCCCCCCGGGGCCCCCGGGGGCCCCCCTGCCCGATGCTGCCTCGGGGGCCTTTGCAAGGAGGCCCTTCTCTCCTCAGTTTCAACTGCAGCAAAATGTTTACCAAAATGTGCAGCAGCAGGAGACACAGGCCCCTCTTGAGGCGCGCAGCAGCAGCAGCAGCAGCAGCAGCAGCAGCGGAAGCAGCAGCAGCAGCAGCAGCAGCAGCAGCAGCAGCAGCAGCAGCGCAGGCCCATACTTGCTGCACCCCACGTCGATTCACTTTGTGGGGACAGCAGCAGAACTTGGGAAGCATTTTGAGTTTCTAAGGAAGCAGCAGCAGCAGCAAAGCCGCATCATTTACACGCAGCAAGAGCTGCAGCAGCTAAGGGCCCAGGGGGCCCCCGGGGCCCCAGGGGGGCCCCCAGGGGGGCCCCCAGGGGCCCCGGGGGGCCCCCCATTCCTGCCCAGTGGGCGGCGCCGCCGGCTGCTGCTGCAGGACTTTCAGCAGCAGGAGCTGCCGCAGTCAGTACCCTCTTGGGGGGCCCCCGGGGGCCCCCCGTGGGGCCCCCTGGGCAGCGGGGGGCCCCCCTGTCAGCGCGAGGCTAGTGAGGGTACAGGGGGCCCCCCCAGCGGCGGGGGCCCCCAAGGGCCAGGGGCTACCCACTCCCCAGGGGGCCCCCACAGCTCAGGGGGCCCCCAAGCCTTTGGGGGCCCCCCAAGAGCTGGCAGCAGCTCAGGAGCCACTGGGTGTTGGGGCCCCCCCGGGGCCCCGGGGCCCCCGGGGCCCCAGGGGCCCCAGGGGCCCCAGGGGCCCCCGTGGGCCCCGGGGGCCCCCGGGGGCCCCCCAGAGGGTTTTGTTTTCCCGCTGGAAGTGGGGGGGGGAGAGCCCGCGGGTTTTGCTGCTGCTGCAGTGGGGCTGAGGGTTTTGGGGGCCCCCCCGTTTTGGGGGTCTTTGCTTTGTGTGGCGTTTGGGTGTGGGGTTTTGGTGGTGGATTTGCTGCAGCAGCAGCGGGTGTTTGCTGCTGCTGCAGCGCAGCTGCTGCTGCTGCTGCTGCCGAATCCTCTCTTCTTGAAAGTCCTTTTCGATGCTTCCGAAACTCTCCAAAGACTTTCTCTCAGTCCCCTTTTTCTCCAACAGCCTCTCCCCCCTTTGGTCCACTCCGTAGACCTCAGGTCAGCCCCCCCAGCCCCAACGCATGCATGCATGCATGCATGCGTGCATGCATGCATGCATGCATGCATGCATGCATGCAGTTTGCATGCGCTTTTGCATGCATGCATGCATGCATGCATGCATGCATGTATGCATGCAAAAGCGCATGCAAACTGCATGGTTAAGTGCATAAATATCTGCGTTCATAAATAGGGGAATAAATGCACAAATAAATGCGCAAACAAATGCACAAACAAGTGCATGCATTGTGTGGGGCTGCGTTTTGTGGGGCCGCAGGCAGCCCCGAGTGTACAGACTGACGAGGGGCCCCCCAAAAGACCCTTTTGTGCTGCAGCAGGAGTTGCTGCTGGCGGAGGCCCTGCAGCCCGGAAAGGAGGCCCTTTTCAGGCGCTTTCTGCAGCAGCAGCAGCAGCAGCAGCAGCAGCAGCAGCAGGGAGAGCAGCAGCAGCAGCAGCAGCAGGGAGAGCACGCGGGGGAAGGCTCGGAAACGGGGGAAACGGAAACTCTGCTGCTCTCTGTCGGTGCGGCCTCCGCCTAAACCCCAAACCCTAAACCCTAAACCCTAAACCCTAAACCCTGTGCACCCAGCCCTAGGCTTCCCGGCAGAGACCTTTGTGGCGCTGCAGCGCCGCAGCAGCAGCAACAAAACCCTCTTTTAGGGTTTAGGGTTTGCTAGCAGCCTCTGTGCCTTCTTCAGGGACCCGCCGTACCCTCAGCAGTTTGCGCCGGGCCGTCTTGGGGGGGCCCCCCGGGGGCCCCCGAGGGGGCCCCCCGGGGGGCCCCCCGGGGGGGCCCCCCAGGGGGGCCCCCGGGGACCTCTGGAGCAGCAGGAAAATCAATAAGAGGCCCCTAGACCCCCAAGTGCTGCAGCAAGTGGCAGAAGAGACTTTTTCTTTGCTGCTGATTGAGCAGCGGCTGCGGCAGCAGCAGCTGGAGCCGAAAGTTATTTTGGGGGGGTCTGGGGTGCATGCGCTGCTCTTCGGTAAACCCTAAACCCTAAACCCTAAACCCTAAACCCTAAACCCTAAACCCTAAGCTAAACGCTGCACCCTGTTGACAAACGCAGGCGATAGGGGCCTGCCCGCTACTAAGCCCTGAGTGCAGATGGCTTCGCAGCTCCCGTTTTAGGGTTTAGGGTTTAGGGTTTAGGGTTTAGGGTTTAGGGTTTAGGGTTTGTGTTGCCTCAGATAAAACGGCGCCGCCAAACGCCTGGCAAGTGGACAGGGAAAAATCTGCAGCTGAACTCCGCAAAAACCTCGAAGAGCTTCTGAAACCCTAAACCCTAAACCCTAAACCCTCGTCCAAACCCTAAACCCTCGTCCAAACCCTAAACCCTCACCTGAAACCCTCGAAACCCTAGCTGCTGAATTCAAAGAACGCCTTTTTTTGTAGGGGGCCTCTTTCCCCCCATTAACAATAAAAAAGAATAATAATAAAATAAATTTAATAATAATAATAATAATAATAATAATAATAATATTCATGTTAAAAGTATTTATAAAAAAGGCAGCAGCAGCAGCAGCAAAAAGCGGTTTGCTGCTGCTGAGCCAAAGCTTAGCAGCTAAAACATTTCCTGCCAACTCTTAGTACCTTCTCAGCAGCAAAACAAATGCAAAGGGGGGCCCCCTTAGGGGCCCTGGGGCCCCCCGAAGGGGCCCCCCGAAGGGGCCCCCCAAAGGTTTCCTTGGGGGCCCCAAAAGGGGCCCCCAAGGGTTTCCCTGGGGGCCCCCTGAAGGGGCCCCCAAGGGTTTCTTTGGGGGGCCCCCAGGGGCCCCCCAAGGTCTCCTTTGGGGGCCTACGGCCTTCTCTGGGGCCCCCGGGGGCCCCCAGAGAAGGCCGTGGGGGGCCCCTAGAGGGGCCCCCCTGGGGGCCCCCGTAGGGGCCCCCGTAGGGGCCCCCGTAGGGGCCCCTCTGGGGGCCCCTCTGGGGGCCCCTCCAGGGCATTTAGTATTTGAAAAGCATCTCGACTTGAAGTAATGGCATTCTCAGAAAGCAGCAAAGAAAGTCTGTTGAGACGCAGCAGAGAGGAGGGCTCTTGGGTCTCAAAAGGGTCATCTTGGGGGCCTCCAAGGGGCCCCCCAGGGGGGCCCCCAAGGGGGCCCCCATGGGGGCCCCCAAGGGGGCCCCCATGGGGGCCCCAGAGACCTTCCTGGGGCCCCCTTGGGGGGCCCCACACTTCCTCTGCGAGCCACTGGGGGCTCTCGAGGGGCCCTGCTGCTGCGGGCCCCATGCCCGCCAGCGAGGGCTTGCTGCTGCTGCTGCTGCTGCTGCTGCTGCTGCTGCTGCTGCTGCTGCTGTGTACTGCAGCAGCTGCTGCGCTTGCGGCGTTTCTGTCTCGGCGTGAGGCGGGGCTGCGGCTGTGACTCTGCTGCCCCTCTTCTTCCTGCTGCTGCTGCTGCTGCTGCTGCTGCTGCTGCTGCTGCCGCTGCTGCTGCATCAGCTGCAGCTGCCGCAAAGTGAAAGCTCCTGCTGCCAGCAAAAGGCGGTCTCTGAGCTGCTGCCCCACTTCTGCTGTTTGTGGCAGCAGCTCTTCCAAAGGAAGAATTTTCTTTTCCAGATCTGCTGCAGCAAGTATCATCTGCTTCTGCTGTTGCTGCTGCTGCTGCTGCTTCTGCTGCTGCTGCTGCTGCTGCTGCTGCTGCTGCTGCTGCAGCTGCAGCTGCTTGTTTTGGTGCCGCGGCTGCTGCTGCTCTTGTTGTTGTTGTTGTTGCTGCTGCTGTTCTCGCTGCTGCTGCTGCTCTTGCTGCTGCTGCTGCTGTTGTAGGCGCTGGTCGCGCACTTGCTGCTGGTGCTGCAGCAGCAGATCTGCTGCTCGCCTCATAGCAGCAGCAGCAGCAAGCCGCTGGGCAGCAAGCGACTGGGCCTGCCGCCGCTGCTGCTGCTGCTGCCTTCTTCGTTTTGCTGCAGCAAAAGCATCATTAAACAAAGTAATAAGCACCAGACAAACAACAGCAGCAAAAGCTCCATTTAAAGCAGCAGCAAAAGGGCCCCTCTTTTGCTGCAGTCCTTTGCTGCTGGGCCGCAGGTGTATAGGCAGCTCGTAGTAGTCTTTGCTGTTGAAGGAAAAGCGGGCAATGACGCTGCCCGGGAGCTGCTGCTGCTGCTGCTGCTCTGCAGCGTTGAAGGAAAAGCGGGCAATGACGCTGCCCGGGAGCTGCTGCTGCTGCTGCTGCTCTGCAGCAGCAGCAGCAGCAGCAGCAGCAGCAGATTCCGTTTCGACAGAGACGAGAGGCTCCCCTCCTGCTGCTGCAGAGGGGACGCCCAGATGCAGCAGAAGGGCAGCAGCAACGAACAAACTGCGCGCCATTGCTGCTGCTGCTGCTGCTGCTGCTGCTGCTTTTGAGTCCGCGGGGCGCAGCAGCAACAGCTGCCTTCTCTGATGACTTTAAAGTTAAATATTATTACAGAAAAATGTGTTATTGGATTTATTACTTTGCTGCTGTTGCTGCCATGCTGCCAGCAAGACGCTCCCAGCTGCCCCGATGCTCAGCTGCTGCTGCTGCTGCTGCTGCTGCTGCTGCAGCAAATCAGCAGCATCATCCGCAACACACATGAAACAAAGACCTTGTGTGGAAGCAAACTAACTTCTGAAAGCCTTCAGCGACAAAACTAGCAGCTGCTGCCACAGCAGCAGCAGCAGCAGCAGCAGCAGCAGCAGCAGCGGCAGCGCCAGAATCGACAGCAGCAGCGGGGCCCTGACCGGGGGCCCCCCTGCAGCCGAATGGACCGGTGGGTCTGTAGTACCCATTTGGCTGGCTGTTTGCCTTTAAGTGTAAATTAAATAAATAAAATAAGTTATTTAATGCAAAACAGCAAAAAGGACTCAAGTTCCTCCTTGGAGCAGCAGCAGCAGCAACCAGCGCAGCAGCAGCAGCGCAGAAACTGCAGCAGCAGCAGCAGCAGCAGCTAAGTCGCAGGAGAAGCCGCTGTGGCCCCTTATCTGCCAACAAACGCAGCCAGCGGCTGCTGTGCTGCTGCTGCAGAGGCATTGAGGACTGCCCTGACAAGCAGCAGCAGCAGCGGCAGCAGCAGCAGCAGCAGCA